ATCAATTTTAAGGAATTTGGACAGGTGAGTCATCATGTGGGAAAATATTTTTTAGGGAAATTATTGGCTATCAAACAAGCCAAAATGGAGAAAATGGAAATTATTTTCTTAGTTCTAGGCAAAATAATGGCTATCAAACATAGCCTTAATATTTGATCTCCTTGAGCCATTTCTAATCACCTTATGCATTATACATATTGAAGTTAACTTCGACAATCTACAATTTGTCAGATAAATATTGCTCAACATTCACATTTAATAATTAAAAATAGAACGATGAAAAGGGATAGAATAAAATGACAAGAAAACATTGACGATTCTGATGACTATTTTTAATAAAAATATGTACGACATTCATTCAAAAATTTTATAAACCACATTAACAGCAAACCATCAAGCCAATATCTGTGCAACAAAAAACATCCACCATAATTAATTTCATCAATAAAAATATTTGTAGATACTAATTCCATTAAAAAAAAGTCCACCAGAATTCTGTTATCAATCAAAAAAACATAGAACAAACACCTTCAATTCACCAGAATTTTGTTATCAATCAAAAAAAGTCCCTTTCTTCTATTTTTTTTTTTATTATTTTATTTTTGTCTTTCCATTTTGTTTACTCACTCATTTAGGAGCCCCAATTAGAGGAGCATCCATAGTTAGCCACAAAAAAGAATTGTTCATCGGATTAAGTATGATTTCATAGCAATCCGAGTAAGTCTCCACTGAATAGACACTTCCACAAAAAAAAAAAAAAAATGTTTCGTATGTTGATGATACTTTTAGAACAACATTCCTAAATTTTCAAGACATGGCGGCATCAATTTTACAAGTTAAGTAGCCAAAACTCGATCACCTTAAGTATAATGAGCAATCAAATATGCATTTCTTACGTGGCAATTTGTCAACAGTATTTGGACGGCATCTCTTTATTTCATTTGTCATATCATCAATTTCGTTAGAGTTGTAAAACAGATATCATGTCAATAAGTAACATCCAACATTCTGATAAGATTAGTGGCTAAAAATCCATCTATGAAACTTCAATAAGCTGTCAAAAAGGTATGTAAATTCAATGAGTATTGAGATAATTAACTACACTTTCATCTTATTTTTACTTTTTAAACCCTAAGCTCAAAATGGAACCTAGAAATCCTCGATTCGGATAGAGATAGAATCATAGAATGCAACGCAATCCACACAGACGGGGCCAAACATAATTCCACACGTAGGCCTAAATTTTTGTCTGCTGTAACTCTCTCCACCCCCTAGCATGAATGTATTTTTCTACGTATGTTTCTACAAATTCTAAATCTCCCATACACTTGTATCCCGTTTCTCTCTGTCTCTCTCTTTCTTCCATTGTTTGGGTTGGTGATTCGAACAGAAACCATAACAAATACTATTAACAAGCAAACTACCCACTATTATTATCACCCTTTTCGTCTTTTTGGTTTTCGGTTTGTTCATTGATTGAACTTCACGTTTTCTGTCGCGGATCCTTTATTTGGCATTGCCATTTGGCAGATTGATTCCGGGCCTCTTCTAATAATAGAAAAACTCCATCTTTTTTTTGACATTGCCTGGCAAGGGTTTGATCTAATGGCTCGTTGATTTATTGGAATCTGCTGGTGGATCTTTTGATTTCTCTCCACTAAAAGGTATCAAGAGTCTAATTTTTGTGCAATTTCTAAGTTTTGATGTCCATGAGTTTGATTTGTTATCCTAATATCATACGAGTATTTTTTGTACTTCTGATTTGATTTATGCAATGAATGGTTATTACGGTGATCAGTATGATCTCTGGGGGAAATGCCTAGATTTATTATGATTGTCAGCATGGAAAGGTACAATCCCTGGAGCATAATGTACATCACAATGTGTGCGATCCTCTTAATATACCATTCAGTATGTGGGGTTTGTAATTAGTGATTGGGTTTGTTCTTTTGTTCTCTATATTAATTTCAAAAGTTTGCAGTCTTTTCTGTCTTTCTTTTAGATTGTTACTGCAGTTCCCTCACTAAAGCAGAAACTGAATGTAATATGGTTTTACTCAGTTGCAAAAAAACTCGGACTACTGGCACTTCAACAAGTTTCGGCTAGTGTGCATGTCAGTTGGATTTGGAGGTTTGTGCCTTCCACTTGTTTGATTTGTTCCTCCCCATGTCTGTGATTTTAAATTATGACATTTACTTAAGGTTCTGTCAATAAAGATTTTATAAATGTTAGCCAACGCAAATTTGATCGACTTGTTCAAATATTTAGCATGGCTAAATACTCCTTTAATAATTCTAATAATGTGCATAATAAAAAATTTCTGCCCTGCCTCTGTATCTAAGGAAACACGTTACAGTAATTTCTGTCTTCCGCAATTTTCTTAGTACATTTATGTAAATCTGAATTTGCAAGATTCTGCAATACATTGGAGGATTTGAGTATCTGGACAAGAATTAGTGTTTTGGAATATCTTCTGTCCTTTCCATGCTTACGTGAAAATGACAGTATACCATTATCAGCTAATCGTCTGCAAAATTTTAGCTTGTGACAGTGTTTCTCGCTGTTTCGATGTTGATTTTTCTGCTCGAATTTAGGTAAATGATGACAAAATGTAATTGTCGAGGTTTTGTCTTTCTTCACGTGTGTGGGTTTTCTTTTTCATCAGTACAATATTTTGAGCACAAAGAAAATGACCTTTTGTGTCTGCCAGCTGAGGTTGTCACATGTGGTCTCATCATGAGCCTTGCAGAACACTTCTATATCTTTATTACAGAGTACCCACAGCTTTGAATTAAGCAACATCCTTTCTTTATAATAATTGTTGTGAAATTATAAATCCATACCCATCTATGATGTTATAGTAATCAAGATTTTAATCCATCATATATGTGTGCATCTCAAGAACAATATACTGTATTAATTGCCTCTCACTCTTTCATACTGGCATTCAGGGTGATGCATCTGGTAGGCATAAATCCTATTGGCTGCATCATCTCCATTTACTTGTTATGCTAAACAATGTATGTAAAAGTTGTTTGTTGAATTGTTTCCAGGAAGCTTGAACATTATCCTGTTCTCGGGAAGAATGAAATTTGTGGTCCGGTAACTTGGTATAATGGCTGTTTCTAAGAGGACTGTTTTCGCATTGAAGTCATATCGAACCCAGGCTGAGGTTCTTGTTAAAAACTACATATTAGCAGATCCTTTTGTTCCATACACTTCTGTCCTTGGTGGCGTGTTGACCTGCAAATTGGTATGTTTAAACATTTGAATTCCTTTCTTAACAATAACCCCTACAGGTTTGAACTATCTGGACAAGTATTTTTTTATATATTTTTTATTATTATTATTATTATGAAGATTTGAACCATAGTGATGGATATTCTTGTCCTTACTCTTATGCAACAAAGTTGGAAAATGTGTTTGTGAGATTGGGACTACTATATTTTCATATAATATTAGATGTGTACTATACGTAACTGCAGCACCCTAGCAACAATTGCATTTTATAAGGCTGATTACACATGGAACTGATGAATTAAAATAGGTAGATCGTTACTGAAAAATGCATGTGTCATTATTTGATTGGGACATTAGCACTCTCTAGTAACAAGATTGCTTCTCCAACATTCTGAAAATTTAATCTTTTACAATGGTTGGGCCTTCTAACAGGTCTATGATTTGACTCAGCTCATCAGCGCCGTTTACTTCAGGGGTTATAATGGCCTCACAAAGATTCAAAGGACTGAATGGAACAACCGGTGAATAATTTTCATATTTTTATTATCTATTTTTCTGATACTTTTCTGACTTTATTCTTTCTTTCTTGCAGTGGTATCTCCACCCTCCATGCCATTTTTATTTCAATTACGTCCTTGTACTTTGTCTTTTGGTCCGATCTTTTCTCTGATCACCATTCTGCTGAGCTTATTACATTCCGAAATTCACCTCTCTCAACATTTGCACTGGGGGTAAGGATTCTGGTGCATCTTTAATATTTTTAGATGCATATTTATGTACTCCCTCCTTCCCATTTATATAGGCTAGTTTTGTTTTTCACACGGATTAAGAAATCTTATTTAATGTTATTGAAAAAGTAATTTTTTGTCAAAAACTTTCCTAGTTTACCATTATTTAATTATCAAAAATTAATAGTAAATTATTGTTGGAAATAGTAAAGAAATTGAATGATTTAATTTAAAATTCTCACACTCTTTAACTTATTTTGATGAGATTCGTTGGGAACCATAATTTGAAGTTTTGAAACAATTTAATCTTTGTACAATTTCAAGATTAAATAGGGAAAATTAGTTATAACTAGACAAATTAAATAAGAGTATATTAGTAAACGAACAAAACAAAACTTTCTCAAAAAAGAAACATGACTATATAATTGAGACAAGAAAATAAGGAAAATCAGTGTATATAAATTAGACGAACGGAGTATTGAAGAAGATAATTTTTGGTTCTTTCATGCATGCCGTCTGTACTCAAAGATTAAACCATGTTGTTTGATCTTTTGTCATTTTCAAGGTCTTTTTTTTTTTTTTTTTNTTCTAGTCCTGGCTGCAGCATGTTCGTTTTCATTCTCTTCCAAGCTTTTCTCAGGGAAAGGCAACTAATTTTTTTAACCAAAAATAAGGCTGTTCCTGATTTCCTCTTTGGAGCTCAGCGCTTGCATTAAGAAGCTAAAACACAGTAGATTGTTGGCTAGTGATGGATTATCTGTGTGATAAATTATGCTAAATATGTTGCTTATGGAAGGATGCAGGCATGAGATATAAAACGAGTGCTCCTTAATGTTCAATATAAAAGATTTAATCAAGTATCTACAAGATTCTCCATGTTCCCATCCCATATTTTATTGAAGATTTATAATATGTTGTTTCAATCCTTTTCTTGTTATTGTGTCTTGTTCTATGCTGAAATATGTTAAAGCTCTGTTTGGTACACATTATTTTTTTCATTCTCATTCTTCTACTCATTTTCAACCACACATTCTTCAATAAAATAATATTTTCTATCACATCAATAACTTTTTCTTCATTTTTAACCACACATTCTCTCTATTAGTGAGCTCCCCAAAGACGAAAGGGAGGACGCTTTTGGTCACATTATTTTTTTCATTCTCATTCTTATACTCATTTTCAACCACACATTTTTCAATAAAATAATATTTTCTATCACATCAATAACTTTTTCTTCATTTTTAACCACACATTCTCCATCAATCTACTATTCAATAATACATTCTTTCAAAAGAATGTGTCCCAAACTCTAAAAATATGATTGTTATCTAGGCTTCAGTCGAGGCTGGAGTACCCTTTTTCCCTCTGTAAGATTCACTTTATCTCTTGGGTGTTGTGACTTCTTGCAGGTATCTGTTGGGTACTTCATTTCAGATCTTGGGATGATTTGTTGGTTGTACCCTTCCTTGGGTGGAGTGGAATATGTAAGTATATTGCAAAAGAAATTCAATTTAGCTTATTTCTGCATTTCCCATGATATGCCACATCTGATGTGGGCATTTTGCAGCCCCTGAAATTATTGTTTTAAGAATATGGAACTGTGCTTACTTTTTTCAGATTTAGTGGGTACGTTTCTGAATGTAGCTATGTTGGAGATATGATGCTTTAGACATTAATGTCTAGATAGAATTTGAAGCAGATTCAGTCGTTCTCTTAACTGGATCTGCTTGCTCTAGTGGGATGAGTCTCTACTCCCACCTTAGCAGTCGCACTTAATTTTTTCTTTATCGTGATCTATAGCCTCAAATGTTGATTTTTGCATTCCATTTCTACGAGTGTGTGAAGTCCTGGGTTCCAATATCAAAGTACATTTGTCAACTTCCTTAATCTTTTGGTGTCTGAGTATAAATGGAAAAGATTCATATTTTGTCTAGAACAAATGCCATTGATAGAAAATGCTCAATATCCATAACAAGTTGATGAGAATAACGGTTCCTTTACTATTTAATTTCAGATTGTCCATCACTCTCTTTCAGCAATTGCAGTATCATACTCCATGCTCACTGGGGAGGGGCAGCTTTACACCTTCATGGTCCTAATATCCGAGGTGACAACCCCAGAGATCAACATGAGATGGTGGGTTCTCATATTTTGTGGAATAAGGAAAACAATTAATGAAGTTTTTTTCATAAGCTGAGGCTGGACTGATGGATTTCCATGGTTATTTAATAGGTATCTCGATATTGTGGGGTTGAAGAGATCCAATGCATATTTGATCAATGGCATTGTGATATTTTTTGCTTGGTTGGTGCGTAACTTAACACCTTAATTTCCATGGATTGCAATATAAACCTATACTATCAAAGAAATATTTCATAGAGGAACCAAATGTAAACATGAAACTCTGTATCATGCCTACCATGCCAATGATGCTGTGAGTTGGACATGGAGGAAGCTTCTTTCTGATTTTCAATTTTGTAGCATGCCTTTGTGATGGAACCTTAAGTAGTGCTTTCTACAGAAGAATTAAATACTTACTTTCTACAAAATTAAGTTTTTGACAAAAAAATTAGCTTCGGAACATGTTTGGGGAAAAAGTGAAAAGTTACTTTTAAGCTTACCAAACATGCTCCTTATACTGATAACTGGCAATTACATTCTTTTGGTCTTTCGTGACTTATTTTTGCTTTTATTAACGTCTTATTATGAAATGCAGGTGGCGAGAATTCTTTTGTTTGTTTACATGTTTTACCATGTCTATCTACACCATGATCAGGTAACTGCCAACTTATGACCTCATGGTACCTTGAAGCCTAATTGTTTGTGTCCCTTCATGCCATTGGGATAATAAGATCCCCAATTCCCCATAGTCTCTTCTCTGTACTTCCAATGGCCTGCGAATTTTTCTGTTTATTCGGCTTTCTTTGAGCTTGAATTACTTAGCCATGTAATACACGCACATGCGCAATTTTGTAAATGGCTTCCAATATTTATTTATTTGACCAAAGAGGCAGTTTAGAGTATATCTTGTATTTGACCATTTATGCGTAAAAAAATTTAAAATAATAAAAAGAAAATTATCCTTATTATAGTATTCTATTCTCTCCAAGACATACGACCAAATCATATCGTTTCTCTCTCATTCATGCATTCTTATCTTCTCTTAAGAAGTTTGCTAGATTGTTCCGAGATCTGAATTCCATGCTCTTGATAGTTTCACTATAAATTTATGTCATGGATCATGGGATAGAACACACGAAATATGCAATTTTACTGAAGTTCTTGAGATTCTTGCAGGTCATGCAGATGCACACGTGCGGATTTATTTTGGTATACGGTGTACCCTCAGCACTTGCTACCATGAACTTGATGTGGTTTGGAAAGATTCTCAAGGGATTGAAAAAGACCTTAGCAAAGAAGCAGTGATGCGTACTATAGGTTTACCTTGCTATGAGATGGCGATAAATGATATATTTCATGAGCTGATGTCAAAACAATGTTATTCCTAATTCCTTGTACAAAGCATTAGAAGGATACTCGGGATTGGAGAAAAGGTGGAGAGAACCATAGAAGATGAAGAGATGTGAAAGACGACTTGATTTCTCAGGTTTGTCGGAAATGAATACATTGTAAATGGCTAGGACGGATGAAATTTGACGTCGCTTTTATTATCTCTAAAGCTAATGTAATTTTGCATTAATGCATATCTTTTGCTGTTCGTCTGTTGCATGAAAAGCAACTGTTTAGATCTGGGAAATATAGTTAACCCTCAATCTGATTTTGTCTCTATGAAATTATTCCCACTGATGAAATCATCTCAAAATCTTTCTTCATCAGGAGTGTGTTATGAGTTTTAGCATATCTCATAGGTCCAATTAAGAAATTGTAAGATGATTTTATAATGATGAGTTAGGCTTGTAGGCTTCATCACTTGAGCAGTAACTCCCATTATTGTGCAGCTTTCGTCGAATATGGGCTAGAAAAGGTTCAGTCACTAGACCCAGAAACGTTTACATTCCAGTCTTAATGGAAGACAATAGTTCTAGCTGTCAACCCCTGGTCTGCTAAACACTTCTTGATTAGTTCATATCCATATTCTTCTGAGTAGAACTGTGTCAATCTGAATACGGTGAAAATCTGTTGATGCTGTAATTTTAGCCATGATTCTACACCAGTCAGTTGAGATCTCAAAATGAACATTGATTGAACACTCAAATAAACAAAAAAGAAATTGCATCAAAGTAATTAGAGCTTGAGCAAGTGGAGCAACCAAAAGAACAGCATTGCTTCATTAATAAGAGATGAGGAAAAACAAAATGATAAGAAGTAGAAAATCCAAAATGGGAAAGCTAGTACCGGCCTGCAATTGTAAAATTAGACTGATACTAATTTCCATGCAAGTTTTGCTTTCTACAAAGCATAACTTAGGACTTAAGGCAGTCTCAAGTCCTGTGGAGTCCTCGTGAAGCTGCAGCCAATGCACAATCTGTTGTCTGAAATCCAATTCTTTCCTTCTCTAAATCATAAACAACTTCCACATTTTGTTGTTGAAAGCTTCCGAAAATCCCAGCTGGTCCATAATTATTGTCACTCTCGTCCATGCTTCGGAACAACAAACATTTCACCACACTAGAGTTACTTGGCGCGCCCATGGCATAGAAAGTATTCCCCTGAGGCAGTATAAGACTCAAATTGCTCAAGAAATGGAATGTGATCAAAGGCAGATCGTCCACGAGAATGTTATTGGTTGGACATGGAACCCTGTAACAAAGATCGAAACCAGTTCTCTCCTCGACTTCCTCAGCTCTAGGGAATGTTATCACTGACTGGAGGACTGAAAGAAATTGTGAGTATAGTGTCTCGGGTAAGTGAGTGTAGGTGGTTCCCGAGTCAATTATCATGCCCCCATTGCCCAAAGAATCAAATTCTCTCAAGCTTAAGGGCACTTGTGTTGGTGCAGTGGCATTGCCTACAGTTATGGCCTCTAGACCAATATAATAGTAGTTTGGGTACATGTGACTCTTCAACATTGGTGTAAATTGCAAATACTCTTTGGAAGAGATTGCTAAATCTCCTACAACTAGAGGGCTTGAAATATTAGGGTTGTTGGCAAATTTGAAAGGCAAGAAACAATGAGAGAAACCCTTTTGAAGAAACCCTAATTGAAAAGGGAGTGAGAGTGGTCCTCTGCCAAAACCTACAATTCCTATAGGTTCTCTATATGTGGAACCAACACAACCAAAACTAAACTTAGGAATCTCCCTAGTGGCATTAGGGGTACTTGTATGGACTTTAAGGATATCCCTAGTAAGCATTCCAGTAACGACACCATCACCATAAGTGTAAGCGAAAGAAGGGCATGGCCTGTAACAAGTGGACCGGAGTAGGGTACTTAACGAGCATCCAGCAATGACACAAGGATCATAGGAATTATCTGAGCTGTGGATGTCAGTACAAAAGGGACTAGAACAAGAATCTCGTAAAGATGAAGAGGATTGCGACGGAGAAAAGCTAGCCGTTAACTTGTTATTTCTATAATCATCACAATCTATGCATTCAAAAGATAGATTTCCACAAGGTACCCAAGTAAGGTCACTTCCAGTGTCCATATATACTTGGATGACCTGAGAGGGTGTCCCTAAATTTAGGGTTATAATGTATCCATCTCTTACTTCTCTGAGTGGCTCCATCATGTCCAAGAATTCAGACGGTTTCTTTAAAGTATTTGGAGTGGCAATAGTGGTTTTGGCATGAGTTAAACCCAAGACTAGTGACTCATGGTTTCTTGTTTCTCTTGCATGGCATTGAATATTGAAAAACAAGAACCCTAAAAGAAAAATATAGGTGAAGTCAAAGTTGAAGGAAAAGGAGTAGGAGATGATGAATTCCATTGTTTTGTAATTAGATCAGTCTAAGAATACCAGTATAAATAGGAAATATTCGATTGTAAATTAATGGTTTTATTTCGAAAAAAATTAGGGTTTTCGAAAGTGGTGCTTACAGATGTTGCATGGGAGTACGATTATTAACATCATTAAATATGGTTTAATTATTAATTAAGACGAAACCCAGCGATTGTCTGTGTACTTGGATTTATGTCTCAATGTGGAAAGGACGCAAGCGGCGTTCTATGAATGGATAGATTCATTCATAGAAAATTTGCTGCGCCTGCGCGTGCTTTATTTTAATTATTATTATGTAATGTGATTAGAGAATAAAAGCAAAGAGCCTCCCATGTTAATTACTTAAATTAATTCAATGTGAATCAAATACACACAAAGAAAGTGGTTGGCACGAGCAATTACACCTCAGAATAAGTGTTCTTGTTTGATTTATTCGTGGTTGATGAGTTCTTAGCGAGCAAGCAAGTCTAACGGAACTCGACGTTCAAGTCTAAAAAGTTAATCTACTCATAAAGTAGTTTAAGTCTAAAAATTTTCCTTCTTTTTTAACTACACATTTTCCTCTCATTATAATGTGGAATAATGAGAGTCAAACCGACACTTATTGGGATTTGACCAATGACGAAGAAAATGGGGCTTGCCACAAACCCATTGCATTTTTTATTGATAAATAAATAAAATAATTATTGAAATTTTCTTTTTTTCCATGTACCAGTTCTGTTCTGTACTGTCCTTGGATTTGAATTTTCGTTTCAAAATATAAACTTATTAGTCTGAGTAGTCCAAACCTTTATAAATCCATTACGTACCAACCTTAAATGAACACGTGCATCATGCTACTAATTAAACAGGCTGGCGGAGTTTTAACTTTTAATTGATTCCAAACAGGCCTTAGAGATTAGTGGGTACCATGCTACTAATTAAACTCTTAACTTCCATTCGATTGAGGTTTAATTTAATCTAACACCAGAAGAGTTAATGAATTAAAAATTAGGATTATGAGTGGAGATGACGCAAAATTAGCAAACTCCAGCAGTTTCTCAGCCGTCTTGTTAGTTCAATTTTGAGCTCACTCATTTTCTTGAAAATCTGGTCATTTGTTTTCAATTTGTCCAATGGCATCAATTTAACTAACATAATATGTTTACCTGAACATTAAGATTCATGGATGCTTGACGTGTAAAAAATTATTTTTAGTTCATACTTTGCCTTATAAAATTGTTTTATGATTTTATAAGATAACCATTACACCAAATTGAAATCATCAAATTGAAGATGAGTGATCAAACTTGCAATCAAATCGAAATTGAGTGATGTGATTGAGTGACAATTGACATGAAAATAAAGTTGAATAACCCGTGGTGCATTTACTTATTTCTACAAGAATTATAATTATGCCACTAAGTCCGTTTGATTCTCTTTACTTTTCATGAAACGTGTTAGTTTTTTCATCCAAGTTCTTAATTTTGGGTGATTGATTTGACATTTTTTTCATGAAAAATGTTTTTCAAAAATTCGTCACGTAACTATATTTTTCTCAAAAGTAAGGAAAATATTTTTCTTTAGAAAGTGTAAGATTTTATTTTTCGGGCACTTCATTCTCCTCTACTTCATCTGCTTACTAATAGAAGATAGATAAGTATAATATATTCTATATCGAAAATTAAATACATTTAATTAATAATTTCCATACAAGCCTAAAATTTATATTCTTTACATACAAATTTCGTACTTGCAATCAAACACACCCTAAAATTATTAAAGGTTCCTTCACAGAATAATTATATTATTTGTATAAAACCCCATGATTTGTACTTGTTACTTTCTTTGTTGTTTTGGACAAAAAAGTTAGCTGGAATTGTTAACATAGGACGTATCATACATCGTATTGGACATTATAGAATCAAAACGATGTCATTGCCTACCTGCACTTGTTGATGTCTACTGTACTTAAATTTATTTTTTTTAATTTCAATCAGGTAACAGAACCAACTTATGTTTAGGTTTAAAAGTTCTCGTCCCTTAGGTAACATTTTATATACACTTAAATGTACTTGTTCTGATACGCCATTAAGTCACCACCAGATATGCTATCTTTAATTATCTTTAATTTAAACACATATAAGATGCTATTTAAGAATATAATTAACATTTATTGACCCCAGAATCCGGTGAATAATAAGATTAACTGAGATTGAACTGGTATTCACTCGTATGTTCATGACAATTTTATCCCAACAAACGAAGCAGAACGCCAAAGTTCATCCATAAGGGTGCAAGATTCTAAAATGCTGAGGTACAAAGCCACATTGAACTTCAAGAATATAATATATGACTTAAGTTTTTTTATTAATTAACGGAAATTCACATCCCGTGCTAAAACATAATAAAGCAGATTCCTGCACCATTTCATATCACATGACATGCCGAAGCCAAATACTAAATAAAAATTTGAAAACCAACTTGAGAGTTTCTCTGTACATTTCTAAAGAAACGGTACACAAAGTATAGCCACTAAAGTTTGTTATGATTTTACATAGTACATTCATCTGCAATGACAACTATACATGAACTTTAAGAGCAACAAGAAGCACTGGCTGCCCTCTCTGATGGACTCTGATTATCCACAAGAACCATGCCTGATGGGTTTGGTGCTGGCTGCAGACGAGGTAGTCTCTTTGCTGTTGCACAATAATATTAGATAGAAGGAAAAAGGAAAAAAATATATAGTCATGATTGTGGCACAATTTTGATGCTATCCACGCGCATGTAAGTGTTTGTTCGGAAGAATTTTTTCCAGGTTAAAAATGATGCTTTTGGAGAACGTGGGGTTACAAAGTAGGGAAAAAGTCATGGATCCCATTGAATGTGTGGTTGAAAATGATTTTGGGGAAAAATGAGTATAAAAAAAATCTTTCCCAAATAAGGCCTAAATTTTTCCTTTCTGCTTAGATGACTTCAGAAAACTGGGATTGGTCTCAAGCAATAAGATCTCTATCTGGATTAATTCTATATGATCTCTAAATTAGAGATGAATCTTGTTCACAATTTATTCCTCGAGGAAACGCAAACAAGAATTGAAGGTCAATATTTCTCTACGAGTTCTAAAGGACATATTGAAGCTAAAAATACATCCCTGCATATTCTATAATACTTTTCAAGCTAACACTCTTACCTATTTCATAAAATAGTTCATTGACATTTGTTGCAGTTTTTGCAGAGGTTTCCATAAAGAAAAGCCCATTCTCCTGTGCATAGGTTTGTGCTTCCTGCAAAAAAATAGCATTCATACAGCTGAGAAACAATTTTTGGCATGCAAGAGAGCACACATTTAAATTAAGTTTAGCATACAATTCGTTCATGATCTGCAACAATGTACTCGTTCACGAATCATGATCTATGTTAGTACTGTTAAATTTCATTAGACAGTAACTTTACAGTACGATTCCCAGCACAGAATGAACTGGTGTGAATAAAGAAAAAGAGAATGACGATAAATATTTTTCAACAGCTCTGAGAATTTTTATCAGTTGGATTTTTGCCATGGACAAAAGACACTCATGCCAGCCAAGTAACTGATAGGGCTTTGTAATTTCTGTTGTTGTTACAGGAACCAGATGCAATGGACAAGCTGTGATTCAATTGAAAATGAAGCAAGCATTGGTTTTAGCTGTTTGTGTATTTATGTATTAATTTATAGAATGAAAGCAGAATGTATTACAAAACTGAAAATTGGATTTATATTTATATTTCTGTACCGAATGTACAGACAGGAATGAATTAAAGACAGTATTTATGTTTATTTTTTTATCATAAAAAGCAACCTTCATTTAAGCAAATCACTGCGAACTGCAGATGAAATAAAATAAAATAAAAGGGATACAACCAGTCTATATTTAACACCAAACTCAAAGAAAAAATGAGTTTGAAAAGGAATTACAATAATTTGCCAAGCATTGAAGAGGCTTGACACTCGCCCTCACAACTCTCCAATCCTGAACGAATCCCCAAAATAGAATCCTATCGTCATTTATATATTGGCGCCAGCCTTACTCTGTAAATTTCTCCAATTTAGCCCCTTAAAAAACTAATGTAATGCTGTAAAATTTATCTACTGCATGTTCATTCTGCCATATGTGAGAATGGCTGTCTTGCTTATTCCACCTCACGAATGTGAAGCGTATCAGGGTGCCTATCAGTAACTTTTTCCTTTTTTTTTTCATATCCGTGACTTCCATAAGTACACATTTCCAAGAAAAGCTCAGGCTAGGGTACTTCAGAATGAAGGAGTGAGCCCCCCTTTTTTTGCCAAAAACACATTTTGGAATAATATTTTGATGGAGAATGTGTGGTTGAAAAATAAGGAAAAGTTTTGGTTTGCGTGCAATATTATTTTATTGAATAATGTATAGTTGAAAATAAGAGAGAGAAAAATGTATTTTGAAAATAATGGGAACCAAACAAGGTTCACTCTTTCTCTAATCACTAGCCCCTACATTAGTTTTACCAGACCATCATATCTAGTATGTACTCCTGTTACACAATTTCATAAGTACACAATTCTAAGTATTTAGTATTTACATATCGTACTGACTAATTAAGCAGGGATGCATATATTTCAAATGCATTTTCTATGTTTGACTATAGTATTCAGTATAGCCTCTGTTGGGTAGCCATTAAAGAGTTTTTTGGGGAAAATGAGTTTTGAAATAGTGATTTTTTGGAGAGAGTGGTTAAAAAGTATGAAAAAGTTTTGGATTTAGATGCAAAATATGTTATTATGTGAATGTGTGGTTGAAAATAAGTTCGAGAAAAAGAGTACAAAAATGGATGACAAACAAGGACTAAATTTAATTACATTTTCATTAGAGGGAAAACTGAAACGAGAGAGAGAGAGAGACTTGCCTCTTCTGGCACCTTTCTTGCATCTATTAAATCAGCCTTGTTCCCAGCAAGTGCCATAACCGTGTTTGAGTTTCCTAATGCCACGGGAAGAATAAAGTGAATAATAAAACTTCAAAACAGGCAGAAAATGTTTGCAATAAAAAATATGTCTATCTAAGTGCATATTTGACACAGACCGACGTGTATTTTAATTTTTTGTTCTATTTCCATTAGTAATAAATTAGCATAAAGGGCAGAAGTTATTGGCATTAACAGCTAAAGAAAGATAAGAAATTACGCCAAATCCTTTAAAATTAATTAACTAAGCTATGTTGTGAATAACAAAAAGTGAGACAATTCAGAAACATCAAAATATAGCACCCCTGCCCAATCCCCAAAAAACTCAAAAAGAAAAGAAAAGTAAAGGCAATTGAAGCCATATTTGCACAATCAAAGGATAGGTAATTTACCTTGCGCTTGAAGCTCCCGAACCCAATTTTTTGCCCGCTCAAAGGATTCCTAGAAAGAAAAGAAATTGTTACAATTTGCAACTCCGTCTATATTGTAAAATAGGATTAATAGCATAACCCCTCTAATTACGTTTCCATATGCGATATACCCCCTTAGCTATTGAAAATCACAGAAAACCCCTGTTTGAATATCTGTCAGATTTGCCGTTAAAAACTGTAAAAATGCTAAAATTAAAAATGAATAATTGCAATTTCAGTACCCTAAGTTTTTTATTTTTTTACAAATTAAATCCAATTTTTTTTACGTGCCACCTACAATCCAAAATCCTTAAAACTTTATTTTACACCCACCCCACACCACACCACACCCACCCCACTTAATCTTCTTCCCCAAAAATAAAAAAGAAAAAAAACCAAAAAAAAAAAAAGTCTTCTCTCCTTCAAAGCAACAAGCTCAGATTTGAGTTTTTTCTCAAAATCACAATATCTGAAGCCTCTTGGGAGTGTTCTCAAGAGAAACCAAGTGCTTGAAGTACCATCAGTACTTGGTTCAAAGGCAGAACTCCCGAGACACTCCCATTGTATCGTTTGATGCTCGTTATACATTGCATTCGATGCATAGGGTTTTGGCTGCCGAGGCCCCGAGTAATGACTCAGAGACGATGGGTGCTAGGCTCGTGATGGGAGTACTTCATCAGGGGTTCCCAAGGGGTCTCGAGTCCCGAGCTGCTCTCAGAACTCGACATGGTAATATCAGATCCACTATATGCTCTGCGGTTGCCATTCATGTGGGGAACAATCTTATTCAAAGTTACATCCTGTCGAAGTGTTTAATCTTTGAAGATTTGAAGTTTCTTGAAAACTCTTTTATACAAAATTCATCCAGAATTATTGAGGTTTTCTTTGAAGATTTGCAGTCTTTACATTCGGCCAGTTTGAAGATTTGAAGGTTCTTGGCAGCTTTGTGTTCGGCCAGCACACTGTGTGTTACTATTGAAGATTCTTGTTATTTGATTTGGTTTTAATCTTCAACCCCTTGGTGAAATCGAATTCAGCTAACAGCTTTTTCATTAGATCATGTTCTTGGTTCGAACTTGGCCTCTCCATCTTGGCTAAATTCGAAATCAGGCAGCGATTTGTTAGGAGTTCATACAGATTCAAAGGTGTTCTTGCAACTGGGCTTTGCCCATTATGGAAAAAATATTAAGTTACCATTTTGAATGAGAGAACCTTTTTTTTAATTATTATTTTTGGGGAAGAAGATGAAGTGGGGTGGAAAATAAAGTTATAAAGATTTGGGATTATAGTTGGCACATATAAAATATTTGGATTTAATTTGTAAAAAAATAAAAAGTTTGGATACTGAAATTACAATTATTCCTTTTTAATTTTGGCATTTCTTACCCTTTTTAACGGCAAATCTAAATAATCTTGACGGCGGGGGATTCTTCGCACAAAAGTTTTCAAGCCCAGGGGTCTGCAATTTCCAATAGGCAGGGCGTCTATCGCACATGTAAACGTTTATAAGGGGTTTTCTGTTATTAATCCTATAAAATATCATGATATCTCTCCTAACCTATTGTATTCGAAGAAAAACAATATGACCACGATGAGTGATGACAAAGTCACAAAGTGGGCGATGAGCACTTACTTGGTTTGTTATATCATAGACAATCACGGCAGCAGCAGCTCCCCGATAGTACATTGGAGCCAAGCTGTGATATCTCTCCTGACCAGCTGTATCCCATATTTCGAATTTTACAGTTGTGTCATTCACAGCCACTGTTTGTGAGAAAAATGCAGCACCAATAGTTGATTCCTACATCAGACATACATAAAAGTAAAGTTCTACTCTCCAGGGACCAATGTTTAAATAGGCAGAAATAGGTATTAAGGCCTTTTTTCTTCGTGAGACGAGGGGTAACCCTCGAATCACTTTGAGGCCTAAGCCTCAAAACAAACCAAAAACCTAGTCAAACAAAACAATATAAATAGAAACATATAAATATAATAAACCATAAACAATCAATCTTAAAGAACTCACCATAGAATCAACACCAAAATAAGTTAATAAAGTAGCAAATATTAAATTGTCTCGACTCTTGAGCAAGTAAAATTTCAGGAAAAAAAAAGAGATGAAAAGCAGAAAAATAAAGAAGGTAAAAAAAATATTACACACAAGAAGCTGCCGAACTTGGAGAAGAAGCTTCTTCCTTCTTCAAGAAGCCACCAGGTGGGGGTATGCTAGGGGGTAAGGGTTTAGATTTTTTTTATTGTTTAGAAAAATAAATGGGCCAATTTTTTATTTGAAAAGATGGGACCAATTAAAAGCCTTTAGGCATTATCTTTGAAATGCACATCACGCTCAAAACAAGGAATAAAACATTCAAATTACAAAAAACACGAGGTGAACATCACACGCCTCCGTGAGACGTATGATTTGAGGCGTCTGCCTCACAAAAAAAGCACCTGACATAGCGCCTTGAGGCACAGGTGCTATGCCTCAGGTTGAAGCGCGCCTCAAGACTGCCCTTTTAAACCATGCCAGGGACCAGACGAAAAAGTTTAATGTGGTTTTGTCAACAACTATCCATATGAAAAGTATGTTAGTACAGGGTTCGGACCAACCTGAAATTCAATAAATTGTCCCTTTACAAATCGCAGGACTAGACTGGATTTTCCAGCTCCAGAATCTCCGAGAAGCACCTTAGGTAAAAATAGATTTCACACAAGTTAGCAACATGAAAAGTGAAGGCAAGAAACAAGAAATGAGAAATAAAGGTAAATCTTGTTACTCAAACCTCTGAAAGAAACGGTAATTCCAACTGTTACAGTATGAAAAACAGGTTGATATTCAAATAATTTTTTTTGATAAGTAATCATGTAATTTTATAAATCAAAAGATAATACACAAAAAGTGCATTATCAATTTAAACAAGATAGGAACAACAAGAAATTTGGCAACCCTTCTACCGGACAATAGTTGCAGCCTTAAACCAACTATACAAAGTGAAATAAAACAATTCTCTAAACTGTTCTGGCGTCCGTGTTACATTTTCAAAGCATCGACTGTTTCTTTCTCTCCACACACACCAAACAAGGCATCCTGGAATGAGATCCCAAGCAATCTTGCTATTCTTGTCTCGAAACTTTCTCTTCCATGCCCATACCACCTCCCCAATATGCCTTGGAAACACCCAACTCATCTGTTGTGAAGCCAAAATATCGTTCCACAACCAACAAACACCTTTACAATGAATGAATAGATGGTCGATCTCTTCTCCATCCATCTTACACATATAGCACCATTCAGTTATATAACAACCTTTTCGTCGAAGGTTATCTGCCGTTAACACCTGCCCCCTCACGACCGTCCACAGTAAAAATGCCACCCTTTGGGGTAATTTACATTGCTATACTATTTTCCAGGGGAATGAACTCTCCACAGGTTCCAATAAGGATCTGAAATATCGTCATTGACTTACCAAAAAGGCCATAGAATCCAATTAATCACTTTAGGAAATTTTTCATTGGTTTCTCAAAGAGAGGGTACTATATAACCTAATCTATGAACGTAATAATTTAAGACACAATTTTCTTTTGCCCTCACAAAAACAATTGAATTGGCAAACAAGAGTAAACCATGCATGATAATTTTATGATGCATACACATGAACTACTTCATCACCAAGACTGGTATTATAAAACAAATACTCACTTTTCCTCAACTGACTAACTTGGTCTCATGTTCACCATGAAATGGATACTTTCTCACCGATTTATTTTTTGTTGCATAAAACTTCATTCTCAGATTAATAAGATATAACACATCTGAAACTGTACATTTGACTGCAAAATTCAGACCACATCTTTTCAACTGGAAACGAGGGGTAATTCTTTTAGTACATTTAGGCTACGCTTGGCGTACTAGATTAGGCCATATAAGGAATTTAGTACAAAATTATAATATATAGTATTAAGTACATTGTATTATGGTAGATTAGGATAGATGGTATTCTTTAATTTTGATTTCAAAATAAAGTCATTTTCCTATCAACCGTATCATAAAATGCACAGGTTGGAGGTGGGTTTAGGACAGATAAGAAAAGATATATTAGTTGACTTTCTTTTGAACGAAAAATAGAAGAATATTAATAATATTCAATTTTATCCACCATAATAGCATCTATGTACCAATATCCTACTAAATTCTTTATATGCTCAAAATCAGTGTGCCAAACACTACCCCATTGTCTCTCGCAAGTGTAAAACAAACCTAGATAGTTTAAGAGAAATCTTTCATGGTCATTAGTTGTGTCTTAGTACGATGATTGAATCCGCAATTTAATGGTCTTTTTCACTCTTCTTCTCCCATATGAGCCTCTACCCTATCATTCTGTCAAGCTTATTATCAACAGAACTATTAACCCAAAATGCGATCACACAAATTTAGACATAAAATAGAAATAATTCAACAAACGCGAACAACTACCCATAAACACCGCGAAATTGACATGAATCGCCAGGAATTTGCAAAACTAAGGATTATTAAGAGTTAAATACGAACAGCGAATGCAAAATTTACCACAAAATACCTAAAAATAGAGAAGCAAAATTAAGGTTAAAAAAATATCATAATTTTGGAGAACAATAACACATCAACAGCGAGAAATTAAAGACGCAACAGATTAACAACCACGTAAAAGAAACGCAAATGATTATAGAGGAAGTGAAGATAAAAAAAAATAATAATAAATAAATAACGGATCCAAGAAAGTACGAACCAGCTTGGAGTTGATGTTCTTGTTTCCGCTTGAGGCCATGGGTTCTCAATTCAATAAAATTCACACACAAATCAACAGATAAAGATTGTTTTTTTATGGTATACTACGAGAGAATTACGAGGGGAAGAGTTTTATTTCAGCTATAAATTTCGTACGCGTTAAAAGAAAGGGAAAATTCCTACAAAGTTTTCTTGCCCCAGCTTTTAAGACTTTGAGGTTGGGCCAAAGTTGATATATTTGTCACTTCTTTTGGGGGCCCGGAAATCGGAGCTAACTTAGCTGAAAAGATCAGGCCCAATTAGCTGGGTCAGTTTTAATTGGGTTTCCCGCTCTCACTACTTCCCCAAAATCCAAACAACCTAATATTTCCTTTCTTTTCTAATAAAAAAATCCCATTAATTATGGGGAAGCATTTCATAAATCAAATTTTAAGTTTCATCTTTCATAATTTAGGTGATAGTTAGTTATTAACATTTATTAAATAAATATATTATTAATAATTAATCACTAATTAAATTACATCCATTTTCTTCATCTAATCACTCTCTCTCCCCCAATAACTTTATTCCCTGGCACAAATGTCACCAATTTATTCTCCACAACCCATAGGCACCAATAGCAACAGCCAAAAAAAAACCATGTGATCAATTAACTTGATAATTTGTGATTATGAAATAAGTAGTGATTTGTAAAAATTGTGATTTGTGGTCGAGAAATAAAACATGACCTATTAATTTAATAATTTGTAATCATGAAATAAGTTGTAACATATAAAATTCATGATTTGTGATCTAGAAATAATACGTGATTTATTAATTTGATAATTTGTAATCGATAAATAAATTATAACCTATAAAATTTGTGATACGGGTCTGTGACGTTCTATGATTATGACTATTACGTAATTATGACCATAAATTGTATAATATTGTCATATTAATATATTTAATTAATAAAGTACTTTCAATTATCTATTTAGTTAATATATTTTAATTATGACCTGATTTTTCAAACTTTAAAAAACTTTCTTAATTTTGAAATTGTATCTCTTAACTACTTTAAACATGTAATCTTCTCCCCCCACCCCCCACCCCCCCCACCCCCCTAATTTAGAAATAAGGGTCCGTTTGGTTTTGTTCTATTTTTCTGTTTTCATTTTGAGTTCATCTTTAGTTTATTTTAATGATCTATTTTAAGGTTTCTAAAAATACGTTTAGTTTGTCATTCTGAAAAATAGTTTTTCAAAATAGAAAACTAGAAAATTCAATTGATTTGAATTTTTGAGAAATTGTATCATGACATTTTATTTTGTGAAATTTGATATTTCAGGTGAAACTTGATGTTGGAAGGTAGAGCTGAACAACGAAATCGTCGAATCAAGTCAAAACTATTTTTTTAAAACCATGGGTTTTGTTTCATATGAATCCGTCAATATTTTGATTTTGAACAAAACAAAATCACTTTGAAGGGGTTTGTTTAAATTTCAATATTTTCAAACCGTTTCAAAACCATCAAATCGTTTACAGAAAAAANCAAACCGTTTCAAAACCATCAAATCGTTTACAGAAAAAATTAAAAATAATTTATCCAACCTAATTAAAATTAAATACATCCCAAATAAAAAATACATTCATATTGGACACAATTCAATTAAGGTCAATACCTAAATAGACAATTATTCATTACAATTCATTAATTAAATCATACACAAATACCCCATCAGTCATCACAATCGTGAATGCAAAATTCTCAAATTGAGTGAAGTGTTAAACTACTCCTACTGAATTATATTCATCAACCACCCATCACAATTAAGTAGATAATTAAATTAAGATTTTAATTCAAACTCATACAATTCTTCTCTTTATACTAATAATTTTCTCGAATTTCGACTAAATTTTCTAGTAAGTTGATCCACAATTATTGGAAGTTGTATTGTTTTGTTCTAATTTGTGTTGGGTTCCCATAAATTTTTAGTGGGCATCATTTTTTGTTTATTTGTTTCTCAATGTCATGGCCAGGTCACTCAATTAATTATTCACACTTTAACTCAATTAATTACTTAAATGGTTGTTTTGAATATTTGACCAATGAGCCTTTCAATGTATTACTTTGATGAAAATTGAATAAAAATAAATAAAAAATTGTCCCCAAATTGTTAAAGATGTGTTAGCTATTCAAATATCTGCAATTATTTATGAGTCTGCATTCCCTACTAATGTTCATATTCTTAATTGATTTAAAAGTTCATTAAGTGTAAATATGGTTAAGGTGAATATTTGTCCTAAAAATTGGTTGCATAGTAGTAATAAGGAATAAATAGTGATTCATCGATATTTGGATAAGGTAGAAGCAATGAATGATTAACAAAAAGTTAATAGAGTGTATTATCATGTTTGATCTTTCTATTCATTTTCTTTTATCCATTGTTTTATATATAATCGATGAATTCAGATGCTATATATATTTTTTTTTTTTTTTTTGAGAGAATGAATTATGTATTACAATTACAGGTATTGCATCAATTAGTATTAGGTTAAATATTTCTATCATATTATTGCATTATAATAATTGGAACTAGAGAACTTGGTTTGCAATATTTTAATGATACTATTTACATTTTAACATGAAATTTTAATTTGTTATTAATAAAGATATAATTTTTTTGGTTAATTAAATAATTAATGATGTAATGTTTATATAATTGATAAATAATTAGATGTGTGATTTTGATGTTGTAATGTAAGCAAGGTCGGTCCTGTGATCGGCGGGGCC